AAGGATTATGCGCGACCGCACCCGTTTGTCTGTGGTAGTTACTGCTTACACCCGACAGGGTTGAACTCCATTGGTCACATCTTGTCACTAGAACTCAGAGAATTTCCTAACGAAGCTAGTCACTAGTGAGCACATATTACGATATTTTCAGTTAGATCTTTGGAGATTTGTGTTTTGACACATTTGAAATCATCAGTCAATCGGTCCAGTGCTTCCAGGTTTCTAATGGTGTTCTAACAATGATTGATTGATGATTCCAAATGTGTAAAAACAAAATTTATAATCAGACTGAAGAAACAATACATCATAATTATAAGTTGGCCGGCATAAAAATTCCAAAAACAAAAACTTTGCAAGAATAAACATTTTGTTTACATTTATCGGTATACTTGATAATATCACACACATACACATACACACTGACATTGACCCTAAACAGCTCAATTTTTTTATGTAAAAAAACAACAACAATGAACAAAGGTTTATTGAAAAATTCCAACGTGTATTCGATACTATTAGTGACCAAACAAAAGTCATTTTTTTATTACAGAGTTATGGAGATTGTTGTTTATTATTGAAATAATGAATGAATCATTGTGAGACCATCATTAGAAACCTGGAAGCACTGATAGACGGCCGTTTCGTCCTGATATGGGACTCATCAGCATTGCGCACCCGTGACCTTCGATCTTGCGTGCGAACACCTAACCTCCGGACCGCTGAGCTGACAAAAAGAGTCACTTTGCCAAATAAACAAATTTATCGATAAAAGTGGAATATTATGTTTATGAGAGAAAATTTTCATTTCAGACCATTCGCAGAACTTATTCAGTGTTTTTATCTTTAGACAAGTGTTTCATTTTCTTACGTACTCTAAAATACATTGAAAATACTTTTAATTGAGAAATATGTGAAATGAAAAGAAGTCAGCCTAGTTATGACGAAATTTTGCTAAATGGTGATGATTTATAGCGCTTCAAACACTGCTTAACACTGATATAGAAAGTGTCACTAGTTATATGGATTTGTAAGTAAGCAATGATGGTGTCTATTTAACATATTGATTAAGTATATGATAACGTATTAATGTAACAATAATTATAATATAATTATAAATAAAATATTTAGTCAAAGTTTAAGTGATGTGTAAAATGATTTGAATTCAATAAGAAATAGTCATTTTTATTACATAAATTAACCATTTATTGTCAAGGGTAATTTTACATTTGTTTTCAGGAGAACCAAAGAGACTGCTCACGTGTTAGCATTTCATCGTGAAGAGTTCGGCTTAATCCAGTGATGCAACCACACAGGTACCTGACACCATGGTCGACCATTTACACCATTTATATACAATAGTACTTATATGGTGATTATTCCGTATCCATGATCGCGTCCATCAAAATGCACAGCATGAACAGGCCATTTCCAACTATCTCGCTTATATGACTGTCAAACTCATTATTATTAGCAATGGTGATATGTAGCAATACAGCACCCCAATGACAATGGCCCTCGAGAATGTTGCAAAAAAATTACCAGTATCAATGAAATCGGTCACCCTGCTAACCACATTTGTACATAGACTATAAGCAATACTTGCCAAAGCAATGTCAAGCCATCGATAATGTTCACAGTGAACCTCTGATCTCATAGGAAACCTTCAGTTCTAAACAGTAGCGTAGCATAGCATATAGTGTACACATATATGGCGCAGGATAGCAGAAGATGTAGCCCAGCCTGATGCAAATGGACTCAAACACTCTTATTACCCTTTATCTCATGTCGGGTAATGATTTTTTCGTAATACAGAAATTTTCATTTTTAGACCACATGACACCTGAGTCAGGGGTAGTACTAATAAGAAATAGTAGCTTATGATAACTATTAATAAAATTGTTTACCAACTTACCAAATGATTAATTTACACACAAAGATATGTGGATAATAAAAAATTCTGTTTTGATTAAATAAATTTCAGTTATGAAAATACATGAGCATGACGTTTCTATACTGTCTTAATCAAACTATGTCATCTAACAATTAAGGTGACTTTTTATCCATACAGCCAAGTCAACGTGACAGGTGATAACTTGGAGTGTAAAATCCCTTTTTGAATGTTTTGTTTGTGAAAATACCTCCATGTATACATTTGTAATATGTCCTTACTGACTCCTTCAGTTGTACATTTTGTTAATCTATTCCAATCCATTTTGAGATGATAATATTTGTACTTTTGATTATAGTTTCTATTTCTTCTGCCTTTACTGAGTTTCGATGTTTCTTTCTGATGGGCATTTATGGTGTTTAAGCTGATACTTAATCATGGCGACAGCCATATTGATTTGTTCCTCTTTTTATTGTGTCGGTTGCTTGCTTGAACTGGAATTGTGCATTTTGATTGTGAATTGAAGCACTTTTCCAGAATAGGAAACACTCAGTGTTATAAAGCAACCAAATATTATCTGTCGAACTAATCTGATCTATCCAAGAGGGATAGAATATCATTTGTTTGTTCCTGCTGATTTCAGTAATTGGACAGTTGTTGGTGGAATAACTGAGTGGTAACATTTGTTTAGGTAATGATGTACATTTATATTTATGGTGAATATTAGAACCGCCATTTACCCAGTCACCTGTTTTGGTTTTAAACTGGGCAAGACGTGTATCTAAACTACCTAGACAGTTATTCTACAGTCCAAACTTCAGTTTGGATCCTACATTGAGCATAAAATCTATTTTTATGTTATTTCATAACTACAGCATAATGGAATAGAAAATAAGCCATTATTACCGACTCTGATAACGTTACAAAAGAAAACTAAGTTTAATCACCTTTTTATTGAAATTTCTGAACTATGTTCTACAAGGCAAAAAGAATGCATCCATGAAAAGATTGATAATTGATGAATTACAAGAGTAGATCAATGACTCTCATTGAATCTACCATGTCTAACTCTTTATCTCTCTCTTTTCCAATGTCAACAACCAATTATGTTAACAGTGTAAAGGAGTTAATTAGACGGAAACAGAAACACGATTATTTATGAGATAAGTGGTGGATTACAACCAACCAACATGGAAGCGAGCATAATTTGATGTTAAAGGATACATTTACAATATCGATTTTCATTTTTCGTAAATGTTGTCATAATCTTTTTGTGTATGCAAAACAAATGATTGATATTTATTTATCATAGATCTTTACAAAATAGTGGACGAAAAATTCGAGAATGTACAAAGTATTTTCAAATAGTGCATACTTAGTTATGACCCAACGGGTCCACAAAGATTCCTAGCATCTCTATTTAGTTAGATTCAGGCATGAGGAGACCAAAAGGAAAGAGATAGAGAGATGATAATATTACCATCCATTGACAATAACTAACACACAGATCAACAGATACAACGCAGAACTTCGTACGTAAGTACATCAGTTCAGGTTGCCATACCACATCAGCACAGAGACGCAACTGTCAGTTCAAATCCAAGAGTGATAGCAATAATATCTTCTGACCCTAACCTCTCCGATTACTTCTAATTCCCTTACTACCTCTTCTACTATTGGATTTGAATTGACAATTATATCTCTGTGCTGATGTGGTATGGCAACATGAACTGATGTACTTATGTACCAAGTTCTACGTTGCATCTGACTGACTGACTGACTGTGATAGCAATAGCAGAAGTATTAGCAGTAATGGAGAAGATTAGGGAGCGAAGATTTGATTCGAGAAGTATAATTCAGTGAAATAATTTTAGAAAGAGAAAGATAGAGATTATGAGGAATACAGAAGATTAGAATTAGAGAGAACACAAAGATTGGATGCACCTGCGCCATTGCAAACGATTTTGAGCCATATCGTTTAAAGTCTCTAACCATTGGTGACTATCGTCTCGCGGACCCCAACCAGGTAGCCTACATCTACCAACATGACTTAGTCCACTTGTTAGTGACTTCATGGATTTGTGCCATGTTTTGGTTCGGCCGCTCCTAACTTTCTTCCAACCTACTCCTACACTGCAAAATACAGCTATTCGAGGCAGTCGGTGGTTAGGCATACGTAACACATGTCCCAACTACATCAACTGATGCAGTTTCATTACTTCATCTATTGATTTGCCATCCCTACCTAGAACTCGTTTCCTAACGACAGCATTGCTTAAACGGTTGTCCTAGGATACACGAGCAATGCTTCGGAGACATCGATAACTAACATAATATACAAAATAAACTTATCAGTTCTTCGGACTTGAAATCAATGGCGAATCGGCATAAGATTGACATCGAGACAGCCTTCAAAACATTGTATATAAATGTTGAAGGACGAATTTCGAGGTTTATGGAGGACTTGACTATTCGAAAATTAAAATCCCCCTTATGTGTGCAGAAACAATATGTCATAACCTTGATTTTACCCTGGTAATCTTTAAGCCTAGGGTAATGTGACAATCTTCCTACCCTTTCTTATTCTTTTCATATTACGTTAATTTTCTCTCTCCTTCATTAACAGTTATCACTTTATGTCTATTTGAAGTTTTATTCAGTTGACATTTTATTAGTCTTCACATAAAATGCCTTGACAAATGCATATATGTGTTACCAGATTGTTTGGGATGTATGGCTCAAATACATCACAACATTTTTCAGATCAATTATGTCTTCTCACTGTTCTATTAAAATTTATAAAATGGACTAATTGTCATAAAAAGTACTCACAATTTTAATACTTGTTAAAACACTGTAAACCCGTAAGTGGTTTTCAAGCACTAGCTAATGTCCTATTTTTATTTCCTTAGTAAATATCCATTTCAAAGTATATATATATTATTGTTACATTATCAATGTTAAAAAAGCAATTATTTCTTTTTAAGTTTTACAAAATAATTTCATCAGAATTCATAACAAAATTAATTCGATAAAACACAATTACATAAATATCAATTAACAGTTATTGAAAAAATATTTTGCTTTCTACGATTTACTTCTAATTAACCCGTTTCTTTATTGTAATTCGTCAGTTTTCATTGTTTAACAGTAAACTCTAAGAAGAAACGTTAGGTGAGGAAAAATATTCATCGTCAATTATAAATAATATTAATAATAATAATAATAACAATTCTATCACAATTTTCAATTAATTCTTCATTCAATCAATCAATCAGTCAATCCATCGTTGAAGTACCAACAGGTCGTCGTTGTAAAAATGTATTCTGTAACATTTTCGACTCTAAGGATCGTCGAAAACGTGTTCGCAAACGACTAGACAATTTAATTTCAATCTGTTCAATACGTTTCTTAGCATATTTAGTTGTTTTAATCAATGGTAACGAATAAATTGATAAATAAACCATATAACGAAAATTTGGTAAAAATAATAAAAATATTAAAAAATCAAATGTACAATTAATTGATGTCAATGAACTAAATAATCTTGATAAATGTACTAAACGTTTTGCATAAATTGGATAGAGTTTTTTATAATTTTGAAAATCTGACTGTTGTCTTAATATAATGACAACAACTAGTGGAATAGAGAATAGTAAGAAAATTGATGTCACTAGCAAATGGCCAATTATTCGACGCATTTCATTTTGAACTGTTTGATATTCATTTGTCGGATGATGTTTATGTTGATTAAATACTAAAAGATATGATAAGGAATATTGTCGATTAAGAAAATTATTATTATTATTATTATTATTATGAGTATGATTATCGATCGGATGTTTAGTGTGTCCAATGGAATTTCGTTTACCATACATTAATTGTCGATGTTTTGTTAAATAACGTAAACGTAAAATAATCATCATATTAATGATAGCTATGAGAATTGTCGGCGTAATATGTCCACCAACTGTAGATAAATATAAACTATATTGTACACCAAAATATAATGAATTCACATATTGACAAGTACCATTCACCAATGATGATGTATTATCATTCTTGACTAGATCAGAATAAATTAATTGTGGTAAAAATAACAGCATACATGTACATATAGTAAAAATAATTGATAAACGTGGCAATGCTAAACAATGATCTCCACGAAATTTGATTGGTTTATATACAGTTAACAATCGATCAATACTAAAAATCACTATCAATGTATTCGAGGTGAGTACAGCTGTATACGGTACATAATTCATAATTTTACATGAAAATGATGAAATAGTATCTAATTTAATAAATATACTACAATCACTTGCCCATGTTAAACCACGTCCAAGAAAATCATCTAATAAAGTATTTGTAATTAAATCAACAATTTGAAATATTGTAATCCATATAATATAAATATTAAATCGGGATGGTTGTAATTTTTGCATAGAATAAAAACTATTTATCACAAAACTACTTCCAATTATACCGAATACAATGAATGCTGGCATAATATAACCACGAAATGTCAACATCATGATTTCTTCAATTAGAAATTCTTTTGAATTATTTTGTATACATGGCATTTTATTTATTCAATGATTAAAAATGTTTTGTTATTTGTATTGAACAATGAACAATGAACAGTGAACAATGAATGAACCAAGTTTCATTTTGTAAAGTGATGTATGTTGTTTGAATTTGTTGTTTCTTTGTTTGTTTTTTTTAAAAAAAGAAACATTTCTCGTTAATTATTTAATTATGCATCATAATGAGAAGGTGCATTGTTGCTTGCTTGTTTACAAAAATCTTAATTTTATCTGAGTTAATTTTGCCTACTGATTTATGATTGGTCAATGTGATTTATGTAAACATTAGGAGATTTAGACCAATCAGTGAATGAATTAAATTTGTTCAGTTATGTGTGAAATATAGTTATTAGTTTGGTGCGTAGCTTGTGTACTAACTACTATTTGGTTTTTGTGTATAAAAACAAAATGACCAGATAATAATGTTTTTGTGATTTTTGTTTACTAAGATGTTGGAAAGTGATTTTGTCAAATTATGACTCTAGACAAAGAATACATGAGGTGCACAAAAAGCCCAATTTAAATCAACAACATTAGTACACGCCATCTTTAATGACCATCAAGTCGATAATAAAAACGTTCAAAGTAGTAAAAATTGCTTTTCCAACTACAAAGAAAGGTCAGTGGTGGAAGCTCCCCCATATGATGCTAAATCCTGCTGTCCTCAGTAGGCAAGAAGACCTTACTATTCATCCAACTTGGACCATCTATTAGTATTAGACCATTGATTAAGAATATACTGATACATGTTTTCCATTTTAGTCAATTTGTGTTCTACTCATTCACTATTGATCGAAGAGCTATAAGCACACATTACTTACTTACTTACTTACGCCTGTTACCCCCATTGTAGCACAGGCCGCCTACCGCTTCTCTCCAACCAACTCTGTCCTGGGCTCCCCTTTCTAGTTCTTTCCAGTTTTTGTTCATTCTTCGGCTTAATGTGTTCCTTGGCCTTCCTCTTTTCCTTTCGCATTGAGGGTTGCATGTGAGGGCTTGTCTCGTGACGCAGTTCGGTAATTTTCTCAGTGTGTGTCCTATCCACTTCCACCGCTTCTTCCTGATTTCCTCCTCCACTGCAATCTGGTTTGTTCTCTCCCACAGTCGGTTGTTGCTGATGGTGTCTGGCCAACGAATCCGAAGTATTTTGCGTAGACATCTGTTAATAAACACTTGTATCTTGTGAATGATGGCTTTCGTAGTTCTCCAAGTTTCCGCCCGATGCAGCACGACTGTCTTGGCATTCGCATTGAAAATCCTTATTTTTGTGTTGATTAATGTTTGTTTGGAGTCCCATGATACCTGTATAATAGTGTAAATTTAATTTAATACATAATAAATTCATGTATTCTTTTCATTTGCGATTAATAAAAGGTTAGTTAGAGTTGACAAATCAATCAGTAACTTTTTCTGTGTGGTAAAGTGGTACTTCTGAATACATTTATTTTTAATAAATAAAGAGTCTTATAATTTAGTTGACTACAGATTGTATTCAGTACCATAGCGAGACATGTTTTCATTGTGACAATGTACTTACATTTGAAAACTAGAAGCGTTTCTATTGCAACCACTTTCAGCACTTCTCCTCTTCTACTGTCTTTCACAAGATTATTTGAATTTCTAATGTAACTGCCTTCCAATCTAATATTCAATTTATTCCCTTGAAACTTTGTTCAGAATGAATTAGTTGACTTCATTGAAATATTCCATGAAATGAAAAACATTCACATTAGAACTGATATGGGGTGATGGATCAATGGAAAAGGAGGACAGGTTTTCCATGTTAACCTGGTTTATTGAACTTTAATAGCCCACATGCCTCATGACACGATACCATAGATTCATTGAGTAGAAACCATTTGTCAGCATTTTCAATTTCAGTCGATCAGTATGGTTCTCATCCAGAATCGTCATCACAGACTGATATGATAAATAAGAACACTGCATCATCTTAGTTACTGACTAATACTGTTAACTTAATTCGACTCTATTGACGATCTGATTTCATGTGTTTATGGACGCGAAAATGTCTTTCCAGTCAGAAAATTGTCTTCGAACTTATACGGCTCGACCAGAGAAAGAAAGAAAGAAAATGAGGAAGAAATATTCATTATTTGTGATAGACAAAGTATACTTGTAGTGAGTGCTGTTATGCCTAGTTCACAAGGTTCGCCTTAGCTTTTGGACAAATTAATCAGTCAGTCCTCTTGTCTTTTGACCGTGTCAATCATTCGTTCATATCTACGTTGTTTTTATTCATGTGTGTACACATCTATTTCGCTCGTTACACATCTGGCTTATTTTTGTCTGACTATAGATTCTTAGTCATGCTCTAGTGAAGTTGGAGTTGGTTTACTGGCCTTCGCCATTCCACTCCACTCCATTCCACTTCACTTCACTTCAATTCGCTTTGCTTGTATGTTCATCCAACCGAATCCGTATTCGGCTTCTTATTACCTCCATCACACACAAGAGGGGTTTGCCTAAGTATAGTAGTATACGGAAAATGATTGGTAGGTTTATTTCATAACATATTTAAATGTTCCTAATTATTGGGTCGCAGGTCACCAAAGTAGTAAGCCCTACATTGAATGTAATATCGCAACATACTGCATTTTACACGTACATGATACTTACTATCGATGGATTTCAATTCATTAAGTTTCTGTCACTGCCAACAGATAGACATGTAGGCAAATATATCTATCAATCATCATGATATTTCGACTAGGAAGTGTTAACAATTAGTCATGTAATAGGATGAATAAATTTTAGTAGCATTGTATGAGTCAGTATTTAGCGGCTCACATATGGACTCCATTGTGAACGAATGATCGAGTATGCAATGAACTAAATCTTCCTTTCCATTTCTGTATATGATACTTAGGCTAACCCCGTTTGTCCGACAGTGGTAATAAAAACCCAAATACGGTTTCGTGGATGAATTCATTTCAAGCAATCATTTATGCAGACAAAACAGAAGAATGGAATGCGTACAAGCAAAACGAAGCGAATTGGAGAAAGCGAGTGAGCCAACTCTCCAACTCTCTCCATGAGCTGAAGAATAACTAAGTATTCATAGTCAAGCAATAATAGGCTTGACATGTGATAAACGGGTAAGGATCCACACACACTGAAATATACAATAATCGATACTGTAAGTAATCGAATGATTACAGCTACAAAAATATGGTCGATATTGTTATTGAATAATTTAAACGACTAATCATTGAAGTGGATGCGCAATGCTGAGGAGTCCCATACCAGGACGAAACGGCCGTCTTTCAGTGCTTCCAGGTTTCTAATGGTGGTCTAACATTGATCGATTCATGGTTTCAGTAAATGTGTAACTTAACAGTCTTCACGACCCCGTAATGCAAATTACCTGTGCTCACTAGTGACTAGCTTCGTGAGGAATCTTCTCCCAGTTCTAGTGGGAAGACGTGACCAGTGAAGTTCAACCTGTTCGGGTGTAGGCAGTGTCTACCGAAGACTGTATATGAGGTTGCGCAACTCCGTGAATTTGATCAAGTTAGACATTAATGCCGTTAGATACCGGCTCAGTGGTCCAGCGGTTAGGGCGTTCGCGCGCAACTTTGGAGGTCCTGGGTTCGAGTCCTGCGGGGTGCAGGAGTCGTGGATGCGCACTGCTGGAGAGTTCCATACCAGGACGAAACGACCGTCTTCCAGTGCTTCCAGGTTTCTAATGGTGGTCTAATATTGATCGATTCATGGTTTCAAAAATATGTAACTTAACAATCTTCACAACCCCGTAATGCTAATCTTTGAAGTATAAAGAATGAATGGTGAGATGCTACAAGTAATACAGTTCGTTGTCATAACTAGTTAATTAAAAATAACTTGAAAAGAAAATCAGAAATTCAATTGAAATATTAGGACAGATGAAAGAATATTCAGGATAGAGGGAGGTTTACATGATTGAATTCACTCCACATTACACACCGAACAGTAATACCATATTCTGTGACAAAACCAATATTATTAACTTTATGTGATCTTTTCTTAATTGTCTTTGTTAGTGCCGCAGAAAAAAACATTTCACATAAATAAACACAAAATAAACTTTTATCATGTTTTTTATCATCAGTATGATACAAATGATTCATTTGATGATAATTAGATTGAGGGAGAGAAAAAGACGTTATTCAAACTACAATTATTTCACAATAAACACTTTTGTTAGTTATCAAAAAGCATAAATATTATTTTCAAAACAGTCAATAAAAAAAAATTATCTGAACAAAATGCTTATTTTATGTATTTAGTAGTATTATTAACTGACATAAAAATGAATCATTTCAAAGTTTATGGATGGATTAATAGTCAGTTTAGTTGTAATTTTGATTTTTTTAGAAAAAAGGTTGCGGTTAATAGGATGCAAAACGATGAAAGGATAAGTGAACATTTAATCGACTGAAAATGTCATGAATAAAATCATGTGCTGTTGAGATGGTGGAGAAAATTTGTAGCTCAGGTGGATGATTGTGGTGATAGTGTTTGGTTCTCTGTGAACTGGTTGTTTTGGCTGTTGAGCTTTCATTGCTCTTCAGAACAAACGACATCATCAGCGCAAACTTCAGATAGAAGTGAAGCTGCAGCAATCAACAAACACATCGACATTGACCCAATTTATCAACCAATCAGACCAATCATAGGCAAGCATAGGATCAAGAAACAGATCAAAAGGGGATACAATCAAAGCAAGGATGCAAACAACGACAGGTTTAAAATCAACAACAACTAATCAAGATCGAGGTTAGCAGAACAAGCTACAGGTCAAACATGTGGAGAAATTCGAATGCTTCACATCTGCCTGAAGTTTGTGCTGATGATGTTGTTCAGAAAAACAACGAAAGCTCCGTAACCATAACATCCAGCTCACAGAGAACGAAACACCACCAAAATCATGTGCAAAAGTATTGTATGCGATTGGGAAAATAATAATTACAACAAAATAAAAACGATCATACAAACTT